TGTAGAAAACATCCCTCGAGGGTTCATCATCACCTAAGAAGATAGTAGTCATGTGTTGAGGTGGACAATATACATTGCCAGGTTGAACTTCATCCTCTGGATTGTTCACCATCTCGTCAACAATGACTTCAGTTGCTTCTTCTTCTTCGTCAATGACATCGACTTCAAGGTGTTTATCTTCCTCATCGCAAAAAACTTGAGACTAATCAAGTTGCTGAGACAGTTGTTGTTGTTGTAACGTAACATATAACACGATATCTGAGAACCCAGAATACTCGTGACTGCAGAACATGTTACACACGTCTTCATCGTCTCACACCTTTAAAAGGAAAAATTTGCATGAATCAGGTCCGCCAAAAAATACTGGGTTTTTGTATATTATTTGCCCAACTGGACCACATTGCAGTTTTTTTTTCTATTCTTGACTTCAGGTGTAAAAAATTAGACCTTCTGTCAATTAAATTTTTTGTAACATCTGTGTTCCTGAAATTGTATCCCGACACTTCACATTTGAAAACTTCACCGTTCAGATGAGCGGAAATCACATATTGTGGTGTTTGAGACATAACGAAAATTGTGGTGTTTGAGTGTTTGAGTGTTTGAATGTTTGAGTGTTTGAGTGTCTGAGTGTCTGAGCGTCTGAGTGTCTGAGTGTTTGAGCGTCTGAGTGTTTGATTGTTTAAAGAGTTTAAAGGCTTTATAAAATGGGCTGAGTGTTTGATTGTTTAAAGAGTTTAAAGGTTTTTTTTACATGTATCAACAATTGAACTTTGTAATTTTCACATGTATCAGTAAAGATTTTTTTCACATGAATCAATGACCATATGACCATGCATGCAGGACACTTGTCACGCGTGCTCCACAATCAATGACATGACAATGAACAGAACACTTGATAAGACGTGACAATGCAAAGTTCTGCTTTCACATGTGATGCCGCATCAGGAATCTCTGCCTTTCACTTGTCACGCATGCTTCACAATCAATGACACGCATCTGGAATCAATGACATGCATCAGGACACTAGTCATGCATGCGTTTGCAACCATCAGAACCTATCGTCCATAAAAAAAAAACAATAAGTCTTTAATTAAGAAAAAAACATAATATGAAAAAATCACACTACATTTAAAAAAACATAATATGCAAAAAAACAAAATATGACCTATAATATGAAAAAACAAAATAAGAAAAAAACATAATATGAAAAAACATAATATGAAAAAATCAACCTAAAAAATCAACGACGGAAAAATGTGAAACACAAAGCCTTGATATGCAATCAATGACATGACAATGAACATAACACTTGATAAGACGTGACAATGCAAAGTTCTGCTTTCGCATGTGATAACGCATCAAGAATCTCTGCCTTTCACTTGTCACGCATGCTTCACAATCAATGACATGCAGCCTGTTTGATTAGACGAGACAATGAAGGAATCTCCTTTTCATGTGTGATCGTGCATGCCTACATTGACCATGCAGGCCTACGAGACTCTCTTTCTGTATGCATCAGGACTTGATAAGACGGGACACTGCATCCACCATGCTTGATTAGACGAGACACTGCATAAAAAAGACTCTGCATCCAACAAGCATTTACATCACATGCATCATGACATTAGTCCAACATGCATTTACACAACACATGCATGACGACACACGTCCAACAAGCATTTACACAATACATGCTTCAAGCCACTTGTTAAGCATGCATTTACAACATATCCACTCGTTGAATATAAATATAAGGTCTTTACCCATCAAATTCTACTCACACTTAAACTCTCATACTCTCAACCCTCAGCTCTCAACTCTCAACCTCTTAACTCTCAACCTTTCAACTCTCAAACTCTCAACTCTCCATCTCTAAATCTCAACATCCCAAACGACAATGTCTCTACTCACCATGGGTGACTCGCACAGAGGGACCGGTGAAAACATCGTTGAGTTTGTAAGTCTTTTGTTCTTGTCTATGTTTACAATTTTGTCTAAAAAAACGTTAGTAATTTTACTTCTTCTCTAACGTAAAATTCATTATTGTGCAGGATGTATCAAGGTTTCGATGTCGTGTGCATGATTACATACCACACGACCCGCTCATTACAGACTACCTTACTCATTGTGGGTTTGGTGATTTGATCAAAATCAAATCTTATTCCCTCGACATGAAATTTATTCTAGCGTTGTTAGAACGCTGGAGACCGGAGACACATACATTTCACCTACCTTTTGCTGAGTGTATTGTGACTCTTCAGGACGTTTACATGTTGCTCAGCCTACACATCGATGGTAAGGCCGTCAACGGCAAAGTTGGTGTCCCTGACCAACTTTGCGAAGATTTATTGGGCACCCCTCTTTGTACGGACGGACCTCAGGCGGAAAGCGAGGGCCGCCCGAGGGGTCAGGGAATTAATTTAAAATACCTTAGAGAACAATACAACCATATTGTCTTAACTGATGATAGCACCGAGTTTGAGAAAATACAAAAAACACGGTGCTATATTATGATTTTATTCGGGCACATTTTATTTCCAGATGGCACTTGAAATACCGTTCATACTATGTATTTACCATTATTGCGGAATATTAACAAAGTGTACGAATATAGCTGGGGATCAGCTGTCCTCGCCCATCTATATAGCACACTTTGTAAAACTTCAAAAAAAAATTCCTGCACTTTTTATGGTTGTGCTTATCTTCTGCAAGCGTGGGGTTGGTCTAGGATGCCAATGCTTGCTCCAATAAACAGGAATTCTTTTACGTTCCCGTACGCCAACAAGTAAGTATCTTTTCAAGATTATTTAGCAACTACATATTCTTTTTCAGTTAATAATTTCTGAGGTGTGTTTATTTTTTTAGGTGGTCTGTTCCAGGGATGAATTACCAGAGATGTCCAAGGCCCTCTATAATTCAATACCGCAACCTAATCGACCACCTTGGGCCAGATGATGTAAGTTATTTACCATTATTTTTTTTAATGTATATGCATAAACCTCTCAAACTCTGTCTAACTTAATTGTCCAACTTTATTGTAGTTTGTCTGGATGCCGTACGAGGGTCTCGACCACGAGCCCAACCCCGACGATGCCGCTGTGTGGACATCAAAGACACCCATAATTAGGTTCACTACGGTGGAGATGCACTAGAGTGACCGGGTGAAACTACAATTTGGGATGCATCAGGATATTCCAGATGCTCCAGTAGACTTGGGGCAGTGACATCAAAAGTGGGTAGACACACGGTGGAGTGTCAGTGACTGGAAGGAGTTTGCGAAGGAGTTGCGTATACACTGGAAAAGAAGAAGGCAATACGTCTTAACCGACCGTATTGTGCACGGGGCTAGGCCAAGTCTTCAATATATGACTTGGTTTAGGTCTGTCACGACATCTCAACCTTTCCTGTCCCAGCCAACCTATTTAGCCGACCCAAGGGAACGCGGTTCTTCGTCAAACCCACAACAACAGTTCAGTGCCCAAACCCAGCCTTACGAAAACCCATACATGCCAATAAATACCCCTTATCAACAACGACAACCTTACATACCACCCACCTAATCCCAGCCTCAACCACCTTACCATTACAACCCTGATACCTCTTTTGAGCCTACCCCCTCCACCTATAGCTCAGACAATTCATTTGACCCTACCCCCTCCAACTACACCTCCAACTACCCCTCCAACGACCCCCCAAATTATCCATTATTCGACTACCACACCCCGCAACAACCAACACACCTAGACCAACCCAACTCTATGTACACATTCGGACAACCATACCGTCCATTCTCCACCCAACCTCCCCGACAATCCTTCGAAAACATGAGCATCGGGCTTGACTACGGAAGCGCCGTTGACAGTGGACCTCCCGGCTATTGGGGTCAAATGATGCAAACTCTATTTGATACGTCGGGGCCGTCCCAACCATACCCTCCTCCACAACTCAACACACAGAGACCGGACACACCACAACAACCTCGTCGCAATGCGCGTCCCCCACAATGTGGCACCGGTGATCACTTGGATAGAGTCGGTCATTAGTTTTTTTTCTTTTGTTCAATTGTAATTGTACTTTTCATTAGATTCTAAATTAATATAATTTGTTATTTCTATATTTTATTTTAACATTCTATATCCTAATTTTTTCTTAATGTTATTTAAATTTCAATTAATTATGAAACACAAAAAACATAGTTTAATAACATATATTTCTTAATTAAAAATAAAGTATTTATTAAAAATAATTAAAAACTGTGTGTAAATATTAAAAATAAGATATTTAAAAAATAGAATAAAACATTAATAACCAATTATTTAAATTCATTAAAAACTAATAATAATATAAATGAATCAAAAAATCAAAACGGAACCCTAACCATTGGCCTCACCATTCTGGTTGGCGAAGGGATTCCCAATTGGCCTCATTCGCCATTTCATCTGGCTAATTCCCTTTCTCCATAATAATTTTGCCCTCATTCGCCATTTCAAATGGCGACCTGCTGTTCAAATTGAGATACTTGTTATTTTGGTATTTATTATTTAATATATGATTATTATAAAAAAAAAATTCACCAAATTACTAAAATTATTTTAAATTATATAGTATACATTGTTTATTGAACATGTTAGGAGTACAAATTAAAAAACACATTTATAATAAATTTGTATTGAAAATATTAATAAAAAATTAAATTTTATGTTTTTATTAAAAATAATGCACAATTTTTAAGATTTTATTTTTATTTTTAATACTTAATTTGTATCCATATGACACAAGTTAATATTACTCTAAAATTATTTTAGTATGACTATCTCCGATTTTTTTAATTTAAAATATAAAATAATTAAAAGAAAAAAATTACAATCTTAACAAAAAGATCGCAGAAAGAAAAGGAATGGAAGAGGCATACAGAATGTAGATGTTGGTCTTTGATCTTATCGAAAGAATTCAAATCAAAATCAAAACCAAAAAGAAAGAGAGAAAAAAAAGGTGTTATTATGGAGAAAAAGAGAGGCTGGATTATAGTTTGTTGGGCATTGTTGTTTCTTTCAACATGTGATGCTATATGGCTCACCTTGCCCGGTCCATCAGGTACCAAATGTGTTTCCGAAGATATTCAGAATAACGTCGTCGTTTTGGCTGATTATCTTGTTCTTCAGGTTGATCAACCATACCATCCCACTATTTCCGTCAAGGTATATACATTTTAGGTGTTTTTCAATCAATTTAATCATGCAATTCATCTTAATCTCATTGTGTTTGATCGTAGAATGCTGTATCTGATTAATCATTTTCCCTTTATGTTAACTGCGAATCTACGATACGAATGACAACCTTGAGAGGGTTGATTTCTTCTTGTATTGCTCCCTCCGATTTATATGATGATTTGTTCTGTTTAGGTGACGTCGCCGTATGGAAATAATCTTCATCATAAGGAGAACGTCACAGGTGGTAATTTTGCATTTACATCCCAAGAGAGTGGGAGCTACCTTGCATGTTTTTCGGTTGCACACAACCCTGGAGGTGGAGATGTCCAGATGAACATTGATTGGAAAGTTGGAGTTGCAGCCAAAGATTGGGATTCAGTTGCTAAGAAAGACAAGATTGAGGTAACACGCTCGTCAATTTCTCGTACAATTCTTTAGTTCCAATTCTCACCGGTTTGATCGAAAAATTGATGCTTAGGGAGTAGAGCTTGAGTTGAGAAAGCTAGAAGGATCAGTGGAAGCTATCCATGAGAATTTGATCTATCTTAAGGGCAGGTAATTTTAGGTGTCAATAACAAACTACTCTCCTAGTGCTTGTTTGGATTTGGTGAATTTTGAAAAATCATGTCGAGCCGGTATGGTTATAACTTATATAAAAGCTATACTATGGCGCTTCAACATAATCACAGAACTATCGTGATTCTGTCAAATTCATTCTGATTTCAAACATGTACGATACAGATAGATATATTTACTCAAAATATTAAATTTTTTTCTATTTTTTTGGTGATATTTAACAGAGAAGCAGAGATGAGGAATGTGAGTGAGATAACAAATTCAAGAGTGGTATGGTTTAGTCTTATGTCCTTGGGCATCTGCATTGTAGTTTCAGTGTTGCAGTTGTGGCATTTGAAAAGATACTTCCTGAAGAAGAAGCTTATTTAGATTCTGAGATAGTGTTACTTCTCAATTTCAAGATGATTTTTTCTTCACAAGATGCCAAAAAATTTATATATTTCTAGAGTTTATAACTTTTCTTATCCTCAAAAATTCAATATAGGTCATTAGATTGGATAAATGATGAATGATAATAAATAAAATTTTGACTTTTATTATATAAGAAGAAAACTCATTTGAGACAAGAAAATTCATCTTCTGTCAAAAGGTTTCTCAATTGACATTTACAATTCTAGATTATTGTAAAAACTTAATACCTGTATTACATTTTTTTTTGGTATAAATGTATTTTATATGTGGAATCTTATATACTAACTATCGTATTGGAAATAATTAAAAAAGACGGCAAAACTCTTCTTTAAAAGATTTAATATGTGTTCAGAGTTGGGGATTTAACCTCAAGATCTCAGATTAAGAGAAAATTAATGGCCCGTTTGTTTTATTTTTTTTAAAATGATTTTTATAGTATAATAAAATTTTGTATAAAAAAAAATTACAATTTTATTTTTATAAAAGCTTCAAATAAAAAATTGATTTGAATAATCATTCTTAAAATATTATTTTATATATTTTATCATTTTATTGAAAAAAAATTTAGATGTCAAAATTTCAAAAAATCACTTAATTTTGAAACTATTTAAAAAAAAAATCATAAAAATTATTTTTCAGATACAACTTTTTTAAAAAAATTGCGATTTCGACTATATTTTGATTTTCAATAATATATGTTGATATTATAGGATGTCAAAATTAATTTTTCAATTTAGAAAAAACTAAGATAAATAATATTTTTAAAAATAGTTTTATAAAATTCATTTTTAAAAATACAAAGAAAAAATCTATTTTTTTAAGGTTGAAACAAACATGCCCCAAATTTGCATTATTATGTTATAATATATTAAAATAGATTATAAATTTATTATGCAACAATTCATCATTTTATTTGTCATTAATTAATTATTGTTTTAACGACAATTTTAATATTATAGACAAAAAAAATATATTTTTAATATTATAATTATATATATATATATATATATATATATATATATATATATATATATATATATATATATATATATATATATATATATATATATATATATATATATATATATATATATATATATATATATATATATATATATATATATATATATATATATATATATATATATATATATATATGTGTGTGTGTGTGTGTGTGTGTGTGTGTGTGTGTGTATTTGTACACACACGCACGCACACACACGCGCGCGTACACACACACACACACACACACATATATATATATATATATATATATATATATATATATATATATATATATATATATATATATATATATATATATATAATGTGTATTTATATTTGTGGTACATATAATCATGACGTGTGTAACAAGTTAGTTGGGTATTTTCAACATTGTTGTGTTTTATTACATTGGACATTTTCGGACACACTGTATATTTAAATATAAAAAAAAGGAGTTTATTCGGAACTGTACTTTCAGAACCACTCCATATTATTAAAAAATATAACATGAGTTTATTCGGAAATGCATTTTCAGACTCATTCTAATTTCGCTCAATGAAATGGAATGTATATGTCGAGAATAATAAAGTCAAGTGTGAGTTGGAGTAGAACATTGATTATAAAGGTGGAGAGTTGAGTATTTATAAGTTGGAGAACTCACACACCTATCACCTTAAGGTTTTGGGTGAATATGTGGTGTCTCTCTCACTTGTGTTGCTCTTGCCTTAATGTTGATGCTCCTCCTCGTGACCTAACTAATGGTATCATGAACCTTTGGTACGAGAAATGAATTGGCTTACTTGTAGAGAAATGCCCAGGAAGAGGTGTCTCGTTGAAATCGAAATGTCTAAGAAGAGGTGTATCAAAATGCGCAGGATAGAGGTGTCAACGGCGGTACAAGTGTATGTGGATAAAAGAGTTTCCACTTGAGGGAAGTAATGTGGACTCACACTTGAGGGGGAGTGTTGAGAATAATAAAGTCAAGTGTGAATCGGAGTCAAATTGGTTATAAATATGGAGAGTTGAACATTTATAAGTGGGAGAACCCACATGCCTATCACCTTAAAATTTTAGGTGAATATATGGTGTCTCTCTCACTTGTTTTGCTCTTATCCCAATGTTGATGCTCTTCTTCATGACCTAACAGTATCCAAAAGTACATCTTTGAAATATGCTTTAAGATAGAATTGAGTTTCGAAGGTCCATATTGGTCTAAAACTTGTATAAATATGAGTGTCACTAAACTTGTTACCACAAGCACACAAAGAACATACACAATGCCCTAGTATGCATATCTCGCTTTTGTCTACTTCAACGACGAGTGTCACAACTACGAAAAAGACCTGACGAAACAAAAGAGTCGCTACCGAACGTTATTTATCCCAACGAAGGGAAAGAAAACGATCAAAGAAAACCTCAAAAAAGGGAGAAGACATGGTCGTCGCAAGCAAATCTTGGGTTTGGGAGTCGATTACGCGAGAGGAAGTATTAGCACCCCTCGCGTCCGTTGTACCCAACGAGATCCAAGCTTGTTGTTTAATCAAATGGTGTGTTATCTAAAGCCTACTTCTAATCAGAAACAAGAACGAAAAGGGAAAACAAAAGAAGAGACTCGATAGGACTTCGTCGGCCTATGCTTACCTATTCCCTCGTGCAATGAGAAAGTCAGAGTCAATGTAGTTCAGAAAACTACGGGTGAAAGGGGGAAGGTTTCTCGCCAAGACATCGTCGTCTTGTGCCTACGTATCCTCATTTGGAATGAGAAATCATAATGGCCGTAGTTCGGCTCACCACGGGTTGCTTAGTGTTTTTTATGAGCGACGTTAAGTTCTCATTCCAACAGTTAGGGTCGATGTCTGTTTGCGGTAGAACGGAAAAATAACGTACTCTTTCTGAAAATGGTTTGACAAATGATCCCGAATGATGAAAATAATTTGAATTTGTTTGTGAGTTTTAGAGAAGTGAATTGAATTGATTTGAGATTCACATTGCACTAAAGTCTATGATATAGGAGTGAATGTGTCGCATGATCATCCCCAGACGGGACGTACGCTAAACACTCTAGATGAAGCAAGAAGAGACCCCTTACTCATCATTTTCCATATACTTAAGGCTCCTGACGCACAATGTTCCTCGTTTTTATTATGTGTTTTGATGTTGTTTTGAGAGAGAAGAAGAGAAAGACGCATGAAAGGTAAAAGGGGAAACTTGGTCCTAACGTTGTCATGCAAAGTGGTCCTATGGTTGGGATGCAAAAGGAAATTATATCCTAAGGTTAGCATGCAAAAGATGGAATTAAGGTTGAGGTTAAAAGGGATTAACCTATTGTTATCATGCATGGATTAAACTTCTAATGTCAATCCTACTTCAAGCTTAACCAAAAATCAAGTTGGACTAGGAGGCCTTAAGGGAGCTTGCAAGAACAAGTCAAAGCAAAGAAAATAAAACAAAAACAGCACCTACAACAACGCTTTTAGCTCGGAACAACAATAAAATACAGCACACAAGCAAAACAACTTTTAACAGCGCCTATTTTCAGGTAGAAACAGGTGTAAATGATAGCAAGGCAGAACATGTGCACATTTAACAACATGTTAAACTCCAAAATAGTAGGTGTAAAAGACATCAACAATGCAACAAGACAAATGCATATGGGTAGGCATCAATCATGTAACAACACAATATCAAGTATGCATCCAAGATTGATCAATCAATAATGAACATGTTTCACCACCAATCATAAACATGCATCGAAGAAAAGATCAAAAGCATGCCTTCACATTTAAGCAGACACGCATGAATTGCAAACATGGACAAGCATTAAGAAAGAGCAATTGATTCACATGTGTAGACAATTAAGCATAAATAAATAGGCACGAACAAGTTTCAACGGCATCACATACTTAAGCATTCATCAAAAGCATCATGGATAATTCAACAATTAATCGCTTGAAGCAAACACGCAATCATGGAATTGAAAACAAAACATGAACATAAATCATATTTCCAGCAATGTAAACACTGAGAACAAGCAATCACAATGGCACAAGGGATTATGCAACATGATCATCACATCAAGAATGCAAAACAAATGAATTATGTACATGTGTTACGAAAACCAAAAGTCGCGCGTCGAAGAATCACATTCAAACTATCATGTGAGGTAAAACAACTCAAGAACAGTCCACATATATGCATAGTACCAATCCATGAAGATTAAAAGTGGAAAGGAATTACAACAAGCTTGAAAATGCACAAAAATCACATTCTACATCAGTGTTAATCGATTAACCATTTACAGTTCAAATTTGGTTAATCGGTTAACAACATAAAAATCAGCAAATTTACACTGGTTAATCGATTAACCAATTTTGAACCATAATTGGTTAATAGATTAACCATATTCCAGTAGTAGAAAATCAAGTTTTAAAAGCATTTTTCAGCAGTAAAACACATGTTCAAGCATCCAAATGATCAAGCAATCAATTATGCACGAAAATTACATGGAATTACAGTAATCAAGCAATAATTAGATCCAATAATCATCAACAACAACAATCAAATTCAAGCAAAATGGACCAAATCGTATCAAAAACCATGGATCTACATTGCATAAGTTGAAATTAAGCTAGATCAAGTGTGGATCTGAAATTTACCAACCTACAAAGTGGAGAATTGCTTTGGTGAATGTTGCAAACGAAAATGGATATATCTAACACAAGAAATCCAAGATCCTAGCAAGAAACATCAAGATCCAAGCAATATGATGAACTTGCTTCCAAGCTTCTTCAAGAATGACTTCCAAAACATGAATCTAGATCCAAACAAGCTTCAAATGCATAATTTAACCAAGAATGATGAAGTAATGGAGGTTTAACTCAAGACTTCAAAAATTGTAATGCACAATTTATGAATCTATGAGTATGGAGCTTTGGTGAAAGGTTGAAGATGAA